TTGCTCAAACCCTGTGCCAAAGAGCTTCCACTGAGAGGCCTGCCACCTCCCAGTTTAGAGTCCTCACGCGATCTTGAAGAGCCGGCACGTCGAACCTCCTGAAGTTTCTACGCCACTTGTCAGGCGGCTGTGCAGTGATAAATAACGCTTACTATCGGAAAATGCCTTGGTCACTTTTCCCTAGCGGATCCACTACTTGGAGGCCCTCGACGTCACCGGGTGTACATCAACCACTTCGCACTTAAAGGACGAGTAGCCGAACCGATAAAAATCCCGAATTAAAAACACAATTCATCAGCAATGTTCTACGGTACTGAACTAACGAAATCATTACAAAATGTACAATACAACGAACCTCTGCTAGCACCCCTCAGTCATGTTTCGTGCCACTCGGAATGGTTGGCCAAACATCTCCTTCAGCATATTTCTAGCTCTCGGTAGCCCACTTCCGGGTCCAGCATTGCACACCCTTGTATGGCCTCTTTGGCCTTGCCCCGACAGTAGTGTAGCAAAAACAGAAACCTTTGCCCTGCATTGTCGGTTTTACATTCAACATAATTCTCGTATTGGCGAATGAATTGGCAATATTGCTCGGGATTACCATAGAAAGGTGTCAGTTCAACTCTTGGCAAATCGACGTTTACATGGGCATACGCTCTTTGCTGAGGGACGAATTCTTTATTCGGAGAGAAGCCACGGTGTGCAGTTTCAGCTCGAGGTGATGTTGTGCCTTGAAATTGGATTTTCATGTTTGGTCTGTTCTATCTGCTGTCTAGCTAATCTCAACTCATGCTCTAACTCAAAATCCCGCAGTCTGAATATCTCAATATCCTTAATATCTGAATCTACATATGAAACAGCACTGACAGGACTAACAGATCTAACATTTTCTAAAGAATCAAAATGACCCACATCCCCCAGTGACTTGCCGGGTTACTTCCTGTTGGGTTCCAGTTTCCTTTGTTCCTCGTCTGGGCATCTTCGAAATAGTTTTCTCGTGTGATTCCAATTTGAGTACTGTACGTCAACCAATTCGCACTTGAGTGACGCGTAGCCGAACCGATACGAATCCCGAATTAAAAACACAATTGATCAGCAATGTTCTACAGTACTGAACTAACGAAATCATTACAAAATGTACAATACAACAAACCTCAAATATGCGGCCGAGAGCACTCAAGCAAGCGAGCCAAATAAGATGTCCAGAGAGAGGCAAACAGTCGCTCCCGTTCTCAAACCACGCTAAATTCAAATGTGCCGGGCATCCAAATTAACAGATAAATAATGGTGTATGGTGTTTGTGATCGAGAAATGTCAATAAAGAAGCAACACACAGATAAAGTTATTTCACCATAAATCATTATTGGTTCGGAAGGATTTTCAAATAAATTCAGCATGAAATACACCAGACAACGCACATCTTTATATATAGATTGCCAAACAAAACGTTGGCTGACTAATGCCGAACTAGCCCGAATACCCGGGTGCAACAGGTTATGCAGGGTGTCAAAAACTACTCTGAGCATCTGTACTGGTACCCAAGGACGAGGTAGTATGTGAGAAACATCACACCAAGTCGTGCCGTCGGAAGTGGATAGTGGCAAACGCTGAAGATCTAAAGAGGACTTCAATGCGTTTTGCAAGTCCGTGCCGGAGTCTTGCAGTTGTGCCATACGTGTCAAATCGATCATGTTCCCCGAAACTGCTGCTATGCGCGAGAGAGCATCGGCAACGACATTATCCATATCAGCCACGTGTCGAATGTCAGTAGTAAACTGCGACACGTAGTCCAAGTAACGTAGCTCTCGAGGAGAGTACCTGTCACTAGAGGACTTAAGAGGGTATGTCAGTGGCTGATGGTCAGTGAAAATGATGAAGTCACGACCTTCCAATGAACGACGAAGGTGACGAACAGCCAGGTAAGCGGCGAATAGTTTGCGACCGAAGGTGCTGTACCCAGTGGCTCCGTCTGAAAACCGTTGGGAGTAGAAACCTAAAGGTTTCCAGGCATTGTCCTTCCATTGTTGGAGGACCGCACGGCCGCGATGTCTGACGCGTCTACTGCCAAACTTAGCTTTGCATCAGGGTCCTGATGTGCCGATAAAACAGAACTGGAGACTGCTAATTTAATGGCTTCGAAAGCCTGTTGTGCTGGTGTAGGTAATGCAATAACCTTGGGGTTACCTCTGAGAAGGTCTGTAAGTAGACGAACTATTCGGGCGCATTGTGTGATGAACCCACGACAGTAGTTTATTATTCCTAGGAAACGACGGAGTTCAGTAGCTGTCTTGGGTGGAGGAAAATCGCGAATTGCTGCGATTTTGTCCTCGACTAGACGGAATCCTTGACGATCAATATGGTGACCTAGAAAAACTAAGGATTCGAGACCTAACCCGCACTTAGCGGCATTAACGGTAATACCATGTTGCTGTAGACGTTGACAAAGTTTGCGTAAGTGCACTTTGTATTCGGTGGCGTCCTGGCTTGCGGCAAGTATGTCGTCTAAATACGGAAAAACGAAATCTAACCCGCGAAGGACCTCGTCGATGAAACTTTGGAACGTCTGTGCAGCGCTGCGTAGTCCGAACGACATTCGAAGGAATTCGAAAAGGCCGAACGGAGTGATAACAGCGATCTTAGGGACGTCCGCTGGGTCGACAGGGATTTGATTATAAACCGTGACTAAATCAATTTTACTAAAAACTGACTTAAGCTTAAGACTAACTGTTAAATCGTGAATGTGGGGTATCGGGTAGCGATCCGGGGTGGTGAAACCATTGAGTCCACGATAATCCCCACATGGGCGCCATTCTCCGGCAGCCTTCTTAGGCACCATATGGAGTGGCGAGGCCCACTGGCTTTGCGAGAGGCGTATGATGCCCGCCTAAAGCATAGTGTCGAACTCGCGTTTGGCTAAAGCCAACTTATCCGGAGCTAAACGACGGGCGCTTCAATGTACGGATGGGCCGCGTGTATTGATTTTATGGGTGACCGGTGTGGTAACCGGTGGCAAAATTGTGGAAACCTGTTGAGAACAAGCTTCCAACAAACGTTGCAACCCAAAATACAGGCTGTTGTTTAAGACGGGGCTTATTGCCACTGCGTCAGTTGCTAACCCTTTCACAGAGTTGGTGATGTCGAGCAGCAGGCGTTTGCCTTTGTCGACAGTGAGGCCGTGATGTGATAGGAAATCCATTCCAAGAATAGGTGAAGGGACTTCTGCAATCAAGAATGACCTTTCAACTGCTTTTAAGAGGTTAAAGTCTACTCTAAGGTTCCTGGTACCAAATGTACTTATTGTGGAACCGTTGGTCGCAGTCAAGGTTAGTGCTTGAGCTGGGAGCCTAGTTTCAGTGGCGGAAGGAGGAATGACGCTCACTTCCGCACTTGTGTCAACTAGAAAATACACACCACTAATGAAGTACCTAACGTGAAAAAGGCGGCTCCTAGTTGTGGGGCCAACGGTTGACGCCATAATCAGTCGTCTGCCTAGTCTTTTCCCGAAACGGGGTGACCTTTCCACGCGCACGGGTGGATGCATTTGACGGCATCCTTACCAAAGCGTGCGTGATACTAACAACATTTTTGACTACTGTTAGACTACTTGGACCTACGGCGAGTGCTCGATTGAGGCTTTCCACCAAACCGTGCGCCTCTCGACTGTCTATCCTGGCTGAAATTGCTTAGCTTTTCATTGAAAGCATGGAAAATGCCTTCGACAGAAGTGGCTGGAGGGACGGTGGGGGTAACTACTGTGACCGAGGGCTGACGGCATTGCATGCCATGATCTGCCATTACCGTCAAACGCTCTATAGGTATGTCCTGCGCTGGCGCAAGAAGGAACTAGACTTCTTGTGGTAACTTTTGTAACCACAGTTCCATAACGAACGCATCGTCGTGAGGGATATTGCCCATCTCATTACACATGAGCCTGTAAAGTTGCGAGGGCTTCCGGTCGCCCAAAGACATGTCCTTCAGTACGCGTCGGATTCGCTCTTTGTTAGAGCTCCCCGAGAGTTCCAATATTGCTGCCCTTAGGACTTCAAACGGCCTTTCTTCGGGAGGTTCTAAAACTACATCTAAAACCTCGGCTACCATGTGCTCGGGCAAACAGGAAAACACGTGGTGGAACCTAGTCTTTAAAGACTTAATATTCCTAGTGGCACACTGTGATTCTAGGACGGCGACCACGCCCTAGAGTTGGATGCCCAAAAGGGAGGGGGTTGGAATGTGGCGGCCACCACGGGAGCGCGTTCGTCGGATAAATCTAATAAATCCATGACAAAAGTGATAACAATGAAAAAATGTATATGTGATATGCAACTCCCTCGAAAAACAACTCTAGCAAAATTGAAGAGTTGAAATAGCGATAACGATAAATGGAAAATACCAAAAGGTAATCGCTAAAAATTTCTAAACCAATAGAAAATGGTTCAAAAATTCCAGAGATATGGAACGGACTCACCAAAATCTGACGATTGCCGAAAATGAACGGATGCAGTTGTATGCGGGGTGACTCGATGGTTGCTGATGTTCGTCCGAACCTGTCACTAAGGTTTGCTCACGTTCATTTCGAATATCCGTCCCAAAAGGAAATAGAAGCAAAGATTGGGTTTGTGGAAAATGATATATTCTGACTCTTCCGAAAGGTTGGAAGTACGTTTGGCTAGGCCTAGGCTGTTATTTAAGCAACGACAGCAGAAACCTGAAAGTAGATCTGATAAATGCAGCGAAAGCGTGCGATACAGAGCTCACCGCGGGGAATTGTGTCGGTGCACGCTTTTCGAGTTCATTGAAAGAACAATAATAGTTGAAGCAAAACTTAATCTTGGAAATGTCCAAGTTGCTATATCCAATAGAGAAACTTTCCTCAGAGGATAGCTATCGCCAACTAATGGCATAAATGCTAAATCTCGACGGTACACTTGATCGGGTCCGGTGGATAAGGGTCCTCAAAGGAAGAAGGGAAAAGCCTGACGGTAGTTTAGCTACCTGATCGATATGCTAAGTCGCTACTTGATTTCTGAACCTTGGTGGTTCTGATAGGTATGCCATGGTTATGTACCATGCCTTGATAGCCCTCAATTATACAGGACTGGTTAGAAACTGAACATATCCTGCTGCTAGTCACCAGCGTAGGGTGAAAGTACTTCTGGTACGTGATTTGATGATCACGTTTAGCCTGAATGGATCTATCAAGAAACTTAGAGAAAAACAAGAGGTAAGAAGAGAAAACTGTCGTTGAAAAACTGTCGGTTGAAGAACCGCTACACCGTGCTTCTTATTTGCCGATGATGCTAATCTAGTAGATAGGCCAGCCTTGAATGTGATTCAGCAGGCTTTATGCACCCTCTTCCAATGTTCCGTAGTCTGGCGTCTACCACTAAATGCCGGCAAGTGCATGCACTCAGTGTCCGAAGGTTTTCCTGTAGTGCGCTACCCGAACCCGGAAAACCCCCTGGAAATTCAGTACACAGAGACAATGAAGGATCTGGGGGTGCTTATGAACCAGTCCTTCAAGGCGTCAGCACAATGTGCGGAGGCTGCCAGGAAGGCTCGAAGAGCTTTGTTCCAGATGCGACGTACTGTTGCATCGAAAGACCCGATAGTCCTGCTTCCCCTGTACAAGGCGTTCCTTCGCCCTCACTTAGAATATGGGGTCCAATCATGGGCACCAACTGAGGTTGTAGACATGAACATTCTTGAGAGGATACAAAGGGGGTTCACCAAATTTCTACCAGGTCTCCAAGGGTTGACGTACGCCCAGAGTCTGGACGATTTGGGCTTTTCTCCCCCAGAAGGAGAAGGTTGAGGAGGGATCTCATAGAGACCTTCAAGCTCCTTAAAGGAATTACCAGTACAGGAGTCCTCATACTTAACATAGATAACAATCCTTCCCTCAGGGGCAACGGATTGAAACTGAGAAAGCCCAAAGCTCTGAAGAGCATTAGGGCGAACTTCTTCTCCCATTGGGTGGTAAACGCATGGAACAGACTGCCAGCGAAGGTAGTCTTAGCCGTGATTGTAGTGCAGTTCAAGGCCAGGTTAGATAAGAGCTGTATTGCCATGTTCCCCGACCTTATCTAATTCAGAGACCTTGCTTCAAACTTACGTACCCCCTTCTTTCTAGAGGCTTCCTCGCCTACTCTATAATAATTATTAGTTTTAGTACTATTATCGAACCACTATTTCAACCTATCCTTCAGCTCCTTTCGTCTTATTTTTACTCTATTGTCAGTTGATATAAGGTGCTTGTCTAACAGTGCGTAACAGTGCTAGGTGTAGGCAATTATCTGTTTCTAATCGTGAGGCGACTGATTATAACTTCCCAGCATGTGATGTCGCAGGCCAGGCGATTGCGCTATCGAAACAACAGATATTCGACACGGCAGCTAAATTAGAATCAGCGGCCATTAGCGCCAAACGGATTATAATCTGGGGTAGCTTCCCCAAGTTCAATTCTCCGGTTTAGGTAATCGATACCCTCCTGAGAAGCCTTACAGCGCCATCCCAACCCAAACCAATCGGAGCGTCGTGGCTGATGTCCAAATCTAAGAAGAAGAAGGTGGGCATCTTTATCACCTTCAACTCGGAATCAGTGGTAGCAGACGCTCTCGCCCAAACCGAGACCCTGAAAACGGCATGCAAACTTGTCTGAGGAG